CCAGGTCAGCGGGGCATCGAGTGTTTGGCCCGGCCCGCCCACGTTGCCCGGTGGGTATTCGCCGGTCGCGGGGATTGGCACGAGCAGCAAAGACGGCAAAGGTGCTCCCACAGGCGCGGTCAAATGCCCAGGGCGGCCGCCAATGCCTGAGGCCAAAGCCAGCAGGACCAGCGGGGTGCGCATGGGGTTACTCAAATATTGACGGGTTCCCCCAGGGCAGCGAGGCCAGCATCGTCGTCTTAAGGCTCTGGCGGGCCGAGATCGGCTCAAATGAGGAATGGTTCCTCACCGTGGTCGTTGCGGCAAGGCATGCAGCGAAGGAGGCGCCCGCGGCTCCACAACGCCGCCCCCTGTTGGAAAAATTGCGTGCGAAAGGTGTGGCATGCCGCAGGATTCAGTCGCACCCCGATTCGCGTTTCACGGAGGTCGTGGAGGCGGCGAAGTGGCAAGCGCACAAGTAGGCAACGCATCGAGGGTCCACGTTCCATGTCTCATGTCGGTTCCTCTGATTCGATTCGATTCGATTCCGATGGTTCCTGATCCGATTCGATTTGACACTTCTGGTCCGGAGTCCCAATTGGATTTTCCGAACCGAAGCCTATTACTTTCCCGGTTTCCGTCGATTCGGCTTCCCCCCTTTCGGCAACCGATTTCCGCCGATCCGACCCACTTCGATCGTCGACCCGATTTACCGATGCGATTCTCGGCTCTCCTGATTTTCGACCGATTCTCGGCTCTCCTGATGTCCGACATCGGGGGTTCGAGTTCCAGGGGTCTGAGAAGCTTAAGTGGGATCGCGCTGCTTCCACGCAGTGTTCTTCTGCGGAAGAGTTGGGTGATATTCGTCCGGCTGCGGACAGACCAGCACGTCGCAAGCTGGGGGTGTAATTGTTCAGCGAAGGCACGCTTGCGCCCGATGGGCGGAAAAGCATTGGGCGAATTTGCTTGGCCGTCCTCGGCCAGCGGCCAAGGGCGCCAGCGCCGCCGCCCGAGATCTGATGGTCAATGCCATTCCGAACGGAGACCCAGTCGTCAGGGCGCAGGCTGCTTGTTCGCGTTAAGCTCTGGCAGGGCCCATATGACTCGCGCGATGACCGCTGGGGGATCCCGGGGAAGTCCGGAGCCACGGCCAACGAGACTCCTCTGGACCCGATCTCCCTCGCGCAGCTTCACGGCGTGCTCGACGCACGGCCGATCAAATTGTGGGGGCTGATGTTCTCCAGCCTCATGATGCGCAACAGCGGCCCCGGGGAGGTCGTCAAGCGCGCTGCGACCCCCCCCCCCGAAAAACTGGGGCAGTCGGGCTCTGCCAGCGCAGATGTCTCGAACCGCGCGCGCTCTCCTCGCCAAGCCAGGGGGGGGAGAGCGATCGGGCCATTGTCGGGGCTGGCCAGGATATGGCCCCGCAGCAGATGCGGCTTTTCGCTGCAGCGGTCGGACTCTGGGGGCGCCGCGGCAGCTGCCAACGGGCCCTGGGCGGCGGCGTTACGCAGGGCGCAATTCGATGAGTCATTGGGCGCCCTGGTTGAACCGCTGGAACATTGTTCGATGCGGAGCAGTTCAGCTCGTTGACGCGGGTTTTTTTTCCGGGCGCGCGCGTCTGCGCGCGCGTGGGTTTGACTTAGGATGCCCCCTGCTGCAGGCGGCGCGCGAGAAGGTCAGCTTCGCGACGTGCTGGGCGGTCGTCGGTCTCTCGGTGATCAGGACGGCCTGGGCCAGATATTTCATTGCATCAGTCGCACGGTGTTCCCGCGCGTTGCGCGGCAAGACTGCAGCAATGCAGACGTGCGGTTTTCGACGAGGTAATCTTGTCGCCAGACGCGCGCGGCGGTCGGGCGGCGCCGCGAAATCTCGCAGGAAAAAAGCGCGCCCGTGAGTTGCGGTCGACGGATCTCGGCGCCGACGGAGCGGGCCCCGACGCCATCGCGCGGGCTGGGCGAAGGCGTGCGCGAACAAGTCGAGGACCGTGCTGATCGCGGCGCGTCGGAGAGCAGGTTGGACTTCCCAGCTTCGTCGCAACGCCCAGATACGTTCGGAAGCCAAAGAGTCTTCGTCCACGGTCGCTGTCTCGCGGGGCTGTCGCAGGCGTCGAGTTCAAAAGCCTTTCGCCTTCCAGCGTTGTCAGGTCGCGGCGTCGGGCGGCTAATTCTGGGGCGAGCCCGCTAAAAATGCCCGCGCTTGGCCGCCGCACAGGCGCGGAATTGCGCGGGTCATTCTCGACAGAGCTTGGCGCCGCGGAAGATTGACTGCAGCATTCGCCGTCGAGAAGACAGATTTGATGCGGGCCCGCGCGCGCCGACGTTTTGAACGCGCAGGCGAGAGGGCGCCCATGTCAGTCAGACGGCGTCGCCGGTTTCGATGACAGATTCTGCCCGATGCATGTTTGGCGAGCTAGCAGGGCTCAGGCGACGCAGACCTTCCAATGGCGCCTTGTAGGCGCGGTTGATTTTTATTTCAAATCGGCAGTTAATCAAGGGCAGAAAAAAAAACGCCCCTACCCTGGTTTACGAGGCGCTGTGCGCTGAAACTCCTGTGGGCTGACAGGGTCAACCCTGCGTGATGTGCCGCGTCCTGGCGGCTCTAGGCTTTGGGGGTTCCCGGGGGGTTTACAGCCCGCGCACTTGTAAACCAGGGTAGGGTCGCTTTTGTTCTTCTTTCATCCCTCAAGTTAACGATCATGCTGACCCCGGTGCATGTGATTCGTTCGGTGGTTTGCCGCGGATGCACGGGCGCTGCGCGCGTGCGTGCGTGCTGGCGGCATCTCGTAAATATGGTGAAGGGCTTGGGCATGTTGGAAAAATGCTTTGCGTCAGATTGGGCCTCATCGTTCCGCGTGGAAATGCGAGCTTGGTAATTTCGGCGAGAACGCGCGCGGCGTCGCGACGGGTGCTCAACTCACCAAGGTCCGACAGCTTCCGCTGAGTTTCGCCGCGGAGAGACGGCGCCGCAGGCGCGGCGAAGCTGATGGCACCTTCCGCCACCGCAGGTGGCCCGTCCAACGAGGGCCCAGACGTCGGCCAAACTGAAAGGTTGGTTCCTCCGGCCTTAGGGCCATTTGATTCTCAGCCATCTTGGGCCCCGCGCTGGTCTCGCGCTCAATGGGTGGGGGCCATCGGTTCGAAGGCCCCGATCCACTCGCGGGCTTTAGACGCGGTTCTGGAGGCCGTCCCCCCCCGTAGATTTGGCTCTGCCGCGGTCGTTTTGGGGGGGGCGGAGCCGGGGTTGCTCGAACCAGTGTTCCCGAGATCTTCAAGGGGCTGATCCAAACGTTACCCCGTTCGGAAGTGCATCTCGCGACGGGCCGCGGCCCGCTCTTGGTTGGGCGGGGGCGGGGGTGAGCTCGGCGGATGGGGGAACGGTTGGAATTGCGACCTGTGGCTGCGCACTCGTTGTGGTTGTGTCCTTAGACACTGCCGGCAATGCTCAGGCCGCGGCGGCGGGGGCCCCGTCTCGCGTTTCGCATGACATTCCATGCCTGTCGGGGCGCGAGGGTTGCTCGAGCATGGGGAATCACTTCGCGGCCGAGGCTGCTGGCGGAGCAATGGGGAGATCCTTGCAGTAGGCGATTACCTCCGAGCTCCGGACGGACGCCCGGGGCGCTGCTGCAGCTTCCGTTCGACGGGGAGTTCCAACAGCCTCTTGACGCTGCCGCCGCGGATTCCAAGAGGGGCGCACCGCCTCGTCTTCGGAGGCCAACCGCCGTAGGAAAACATGTTCCAGAAAAGAGGCCACCCTCGGAGCGAGCGCGCACGAGCTGTCACCAGTCGGCCATGTTCTTGCTGTCAGAAGCGGGATCCGGCGTGCCAGAAGAAAGGCGAATTTGAGGCTTCGGGTTGGGCGCGCGGGCCCGTTTCCGCCGCGCCCAAGGGATTCCCAAGGGGCGTTTTGGCTGTGGCCCAGGGGCCCGTTCAGGTCGGCGAGGCGGCGCTGGACCCTTCCCATTCCGCGGGATCTTGAGGCGCCCGCAATGGTCATTTGTGTTTTAGATGCGGTCATGGACGGCCGTCAGTTCACCAGCGCGCCCGAACCTTCCTCGCGCAAAGGGTTGGGAAGCATGTTCAGGATGCGTAAATAAGGTGTCCCTGTTATGCAGGCCACCCAGAGCGTCGCGTGATTCGTTGCATGTTCGGGTTCTGGGTGCTTCCACCGCCCGACCAGCTCCGATGCAGAATGAGAGTGCCTAGACCACGCTTCTTGGGATGCCATCTCAGACGGCATCGTCTTCGCTCACCGCGGAGGCGTATCATCTCGGGAGTGCGGCCTCTGCGTTGCTCAGGCAGCCTCCCTGCTCCACTCCGCGCGCGCCCGAAGGTGACGTCGCCAGCTCAGACGAAGGTGAGATTGAACAGCGTCTCCCAGTTAATTGTGTACGTCATCTTTTTGTTCTTTGGGGTTCCCGTGGGGGGTACCTAAGCAGTGCTGCTCCTGTGGTGCCCTTGCGGGTCCTCTCTGGTTTTTTGGCCGTCTTACTGCCTCTTTGGGCCCTCTTTCGGTCTTGTCGGGATTCCCTTGGGCGCATCTTGGGGCCCTCTTGGGGTGTCCTGGGTCCTCGGGCTGTCTTGGGCCCTTTTTGGGTCGTTTTGGAAAACTTTTCGGATCTGTTCTGAGGCGTCTGGGAGGCTTCTGGAGGTCCTCGTTGGCTGTTGTTTGCCTCGATGTGGCTCCTCCGTAGCACCCGTGAAACCATGAGGAGTTGCGGGGAAATTTTGGGCCGTACATGGGAGGGGTGGAAGTTCATTCAACCGAACGTGACGAGAAAGGGGCCGGGCTGTTACAAGAGTTCTGTAGTTTCCTAAATCTACAAGCCAATACGTGTCATCCGACCACGCTGTAGCGTGCGAGAGGCATTACAGCGAATTTTGTTCCTCCCCCCCGGCTCTTCCTCTCCTGCCCCCTCCGCCCTCCTCGCCCCATTCCTCCTTTTCTTCGGGGGGGATCTAGGCGAAGGGCGAACGTTGTCTGTCTTGCGGGCCAGGGCGGCGTTCAGACGCCCAGCGCAGCCCCATTGTAGTCAGCGGCAGCCGGCATGTCGCGCGCCCTCGGAGTCGCCGCGCTGATCATCCTCGCCCAGGCGCGGCGCGACCCCCAGGTCCTGCATCCGCAAGAAGTTAGACAGATAGCTGTATTGCTACTGCCGGTTCTCACTGTCCGCCAAAAATCGGGTTGCGGCCTGGGAGGCTGGGTCCCTGAGGAGCCCTCGACGGCCCCGGATGGCCCCGAGACGGCCTCAGAGGGCTTCAGAAGACCCGAAGAGACCCTCAAGACGGGCCGAAGGCGGCCCAAGATGCCCCGAACATTCTTTGGAAGACAGTCCAACGCGTTCCCGAGACGGCCCAAGAGGGACACGATGGCATCCGCGAGAAGCCCCCTTTTGGTTAGCGGCTGGCGGAGCGGGGTAGGGCGAGGTTGTTAAGAATCAGCAGTTCTTCTCCCGCCCCTCCGAATGGGAAGAAGGGGGAACCGCCTACGCTTAGAGACAGGTGGGATTGTACATGCCGCGTGCGTCTCTCTGAGACGCCTGGGTCCCGAGGGCTCAAAGTTATGTCTCAGTGAGCCTGGCAGTCTCCAGAGGCCCGCATCCATGGATGCTTTCCTATGCGTCTGGTGCTGCCGCTGTTGCAACTGTTCGTAAAGACAGCACGCCGCTGCTGACAAAAATGAGAGGGAGAAAGAGAGAGAGAGAGAGAGAACAAAAAAAAGCTTGGTCCCCCACAAGGGAACCGCTCAAAGCATATCCACAATCGTGGCGGGAAGGAGTCTCTAATACACCCCTTGGCGGCTCCCCATTGGGGCGTCTGAGTGGCATGCTGCTATATCGAGGATATCAGAGGTCGGGGGGTGAGATCGCAGCGGAACGGAGACCCCCAACCGGGAAATCGTTTCGATCCGTTCGTGCCGTGCGTGCGGGCGAGGCGAAGCAGCGTGGGCGCGCGAGAGGAATGAACCCGCCGTTGCCAGGGCGAAGTCAAGACAAATGGTTCTCCCCCGTCCGTCCGTCCGTCCGGCGTTGGCCCTAGCGGCGTCCTGCGGTGTCCCGTGGTGTCCCGTGGTGCCCGCCGTTGCTAGGGCGAATTCACGACAAATGCTTCTCCCCCGTCCGTCCGTCCGTCCGGCGGTGGCTCGCGGTGTCCCGTGGTGTCCCGTGGTGTCCCGTTATGAGATCGATAGTGAGATCGATACTGAGATCGATACTGAGATCGATGTGGTGCCCCGAGGTGTCCTGTGGTGTCCCGTGGTGTCCCGTTGAGTGAGATCGATGGTGACAGGTGTCCCGCGGTGCCCCGAGGTGTCCCGTTGAATCAGATCGATAGTGAAATCGATATCGTGATCGATGTGGTGCTCCGAGGTGTCCTGTGGTGTCCCGTGGTGTCCCAAAAAGTGACATCGATAGTGAGATCGATAGTGCGACCGATAGTGAGATCGAGAGGTGTCCCGCGGTGTCCCGTGGTGTCCCGTGGTAGCCCGTGATGGCCCGTGGTGTCCCGTTGAGTGAGATCGATAGTGAAATCGACAAGTGTCCCGTTGTGTCCCGTGGTGTCCCGTTGAGTGAGTGAGATAGTGAGATCGATTGAGTCAGATGTTGGTTCCCCCCCTCTTCCCCCCCCACACAACCTCCTCATCACCCGAAGGGTGTTCGTATGGGTAGTGGGTGAACGAATCTGCATATGATTGGCGAGTCTGAGTGCGAGTTAGTGAGGCGCGGTGTGAACAAGGCTGGCTGCTAGTCAGTCTGAATGTGAGTGAATCTGACTGGTCTGTATGAATAGGTCTGGATAGCTAACTTGGGTATGAGTGGATCTGAGTGTGAGCAAGTCTGAGAATGGGGGAGTCTCAGTGCAGAAGGCGGCTTGTCAGAAGAAGGATGTATCACACTAGTAATGGCGTTGGCACGTCGGATTGGTGAATACCTAAGCAGAATCACATGGTCATTGTATCTGAGAGCTCTCTGGGGGGGCCTCCCTGAGTTCTCTTTGGGTATCTCCTCTTGTCGCCTGAGGGTGCCACGCTTACAGCATCCTGCGAGCCTGAAGGGGCTAGGGCAACGAGCCTTTGCGCCCCCTCTGCGGTGTCGAGAAAGTGCAACGCCTGCCACGCCCTGCGAGCCTGAAACGGTCATGGCAAGCACCGAGGCTTGAATATTTAGGAAATATGGGGCTGGAACTTTGCCTGTGAGTGAATTGCAAGGATGCCTCAGGCGGGAGCCCCTCCATGTGTGGCCCGCAGAGCAATTACAAATCCGAGCGGGTCATCGGAACCTTGTAATTGTCGCCACTGTTGGGTTCCTGAGGCCTGAATATTTGGGAAGTCTGAGGCGGGAGCCTCTTATGTGAGTGACTGAGCTGGTCCTCGGCAAATGTTGTTACTGTCGTGGGCCCGCGTGCCCGAAATAGCGTAGGACACGAGGGCGTTTGATGAGCTGACGACGACGACGGCGGCGAGACAACGGCCGGGCGCAGGGGTAGCCTTTTGTGTCCGGGCCTGGCGTCTTCGAATTAAAAGGTCATTTTTCAGATCCTCTGCGTCTTCGAGCTGAAGGGCACGAAGCGCTTCGAGCCCGGGGACCCTTCGATCACGCTTTTGGGCTGCACGCGCGAGGGCTAGCCCTTCCCACCAGAAGTCTGGTCCGCCTGGGAGAAGACGCAGGCCTTGGACAACCACGGCATCCTGGACCTTCGGCACCAGCACGAGATCTTTCGGGTCGGCTACGGCATGGGCATGTACTGGGAGACGCTGGTGAGGTGGATCAACACGCGCGCTAGTCGCGACGCGCGGCGTCTGGGCGTGCCCCTCATTTTCCTGCAGGCCGTTGACGAGTGAAACACGATTGAGGGCGATCCCGGCGCGGGTCTGCGCCACCTGAGCGTCCCGGACATGCGCAAGACGGGGGACATCCACGGCGTCTTACCAACGCGCGTCGGCATGGAGGTGCGATTCTCTGCAGCGCAGGAGGAGTTGATCAATCAGTTCGGATTCGCGCGGGAGCGACGGGCCATCATCGCGTCCTTCCAGTTCCACCCCGAGGACGAGCAACGGCACAAGGAGCGCTCGCTAGGCCAGCTCGTTTTCCCCCGCTCCCTACCGCAAGGCATATGGCTGCAGGCGCACGGCTTCAAGGAGTCTCCGATCTACCAGGAGGTCGCCGAACTGTTGCGACAGAGCGCCGAAGGCGCCGACGACGACGGCGAGGCCGAGGCGCGGGCTCAGAGTTTGCCGGCGTTCAGGCCCGCCGAGCAGAACAACTCGCGAGACAGAGCCCGGGGCCGCGCGCCGCGCGCCGTTCGGGGTTCACCACGACACATGCGCCCCACCTCACCTCCACGCTGTCGCAGGGCCACACGCTGCGCGCGGGCGTCGCCGTCGATTGCGCGAGAGACGGGCCGCGCGGGCATGTCGGGCGACCGCCGGTGGCTGCACCTCTACTCCACGCTCCCCCGCGCCACGCGCGTGCGGAACATGCTGATCCTGCGGCCGCCCTCGCGCGAGCTCCCGAAGCGAGGGCCGCGGGCGCCCTTGCGGAAGGCGTTCAAGAAGTTCGGCGGAGCAGCTCGCAGGATAGCTGAGTTCGCGTCGCCTCTTGCCTGAGCGCGGCTGCGCCCCGCGCGAAGCCCGCGGGGCTGCCCCAACGGCTTGGTCTCGCGCGCCAGCGGCTCGCGGGTTTGCCCCGACGACCTGGCCCGGGGGTTTGCCCCGACGGCCGCGCGGCGCGGCCATGCGCGAATGCGCCCGCGCGGGCCGAGGCGGCGACGGCGCCGAGGAAAACCGACGCGCGTGCTCCGGCCAGGAGGAAGGAAAGGTGCACGAAGAAAACAGGGGGGCGGATATGAGGAGGGGAAGAACGAGGGGAGGTCAACGAGGGGGAAGATGAGGACGACGAGGAGGAATAATAGGACGAGGAGGGGGGGAAGGGAGGGGAGGAGGCGGAGGCGGAGGACGAGGAGGAAAAGGAGGACAAGGACGGGGCGGAAGAGCAAGAGGATAATCAATTCATCAGGATGAGGAGAAGGATGAAAAAGGAGGAAGAGGAGGAAGAGGAGGACGGGGGGGAGGAAGACGCAATGGGCGGAAAGAAGGCATCCGCCAATCGAAAAAAAGGGCGAGGGACAAGCTAAATAGGTTCTCGTCTGGGGTCCAACCGTCGGAGTAATTACCAAGCTCTTCGCGGCACCGCTCTGGTTATACATCCCGACCGCCTTGCATCTCCTGTTTTTGACTGTCTGACAACGGCCCCGGGGCAGTCGGAAATCGAACCCGTTCCTTTCAGGACCCGCCTGCTGGACCCGCCTGTTTCAATTCGCGCCATCTTCTCGCCCACCTGTCCTCCGGGGGCCGCTGCGACGCGCAGCGGTGGCGGCACCAGGGCAGTCGCGGCGAGCCCCTCTGCGGGGCGCAAAGGCAGAGCGCGGAAGAGAGGGTTCCGACGGGCGCCGCGCGAACAGAGCGCGCGCGCGCATTCTGGCGGCGGGTGCCGCAACGGGCGGGGGGTAGTTCGAGGAGGAGTCATTGATTATAGAGACGGCGGAGGCATTGGAGTCGCTCACCCACCCCGCCTCCTTCCAGTATCTCCCATCATCCACAGTTGGCATCCCGGGGAGGGTACCCTTGGATGTTCTGTTTGTTTTGGCCGACGGGGGCTCATGTTCTTGAGGGGTGACTTTTCTGGTTTAGGTCCGATTGTATTATCCCCCAATCTCCTTTAGTTGGCTCCCTCCGCTCCTCCGCCCGCATGCCCGGGTTCGCGCGCGGGAGCGAGCGGCGACACACACGCGGCTCGGTCGGTCCGGCTGCCTCGTAGGCGGATGCGTCAGGTCGGTTCGGTTGGGTCACTTGTTGGGTCGTTGTTGCGTCGTTGTTGCGTCGCTGCGCCCTTCTAGGCTGCTTGTGGCCTGTCGGTTTCAGTCGTATTCGGCCTCGCTGCCGGTCTGGCCCACCTCGCCTTCTGATGCACCCTCGGGGCACCTGTTTTGGCCTGTCGCGGCACTGTCCGCGTCGAATTCGTGTCGAATCCATGTCGGACTCGTCGGATCCGTGTCCAACCCGCGTCGAATCCGCACCAAGCCTGCGTCGAGCCCGCATCGAGCCCGCGTCGGGCACAAGACAAGACACCAATGTGGGGAAACAGTCTTCGGCCCCACGAAGCTGCGACGCGGCCCGCCTCCTCGCCCGCCTCGCCCCCGTCCTGGCGCGCCTGCTGCTCCTCGGGGCTCGCGCGCCCCGAGCCCGGCGCGCGCGAGCGCCTCGCCGGCGTGCGCGGAGGCGGCGGCGGCGGAGGCGGGCAGGCTGAAGGGCAGCAAGGCGCCCCCCCCCCCCCCCACGGCAGGAGGGCGGAGGGAGGACGAGGGTGAAGTCGGGCCTGTCCCCCCTACAGGGGGATTTTCGACGACAGATAAAACATGCCCCGAACATAATCACGAAATAGTGCAAAAATAGTCTGGGGACTATTGTTTGAGTATTTTCTGACCTTTTTTTCTGGGGGGGGGGACAGGCCCGACATAAGACGAGGGAGAGGGAGCCCATGGGCCTAGGCCTCACAGGTGGGGTCCGAGCAGATGGGGTCGGAGGATCGCGCCGCATCGCCGAGGAGTCGACGATGCGGCTCGATGTGGAGCCCGTGTCTCCCCACGCCGCGGTCGCCGATGCATCGCCGATACGTCGGCGATGCATTGGCGATGCGCGCCACCTATGAGGTCTCTGAGGCCTCTAGACAGGGAGGGTGGAGGGGGGAGGGAGAGCCAGAGCCAGGCTGCCATCCAGCCTAACGGTTTCTGAGAGAGTTGGTGCTTTATTTCTTCTCTCCCCCACCTCGTTCCCCAGGACCTCGCCCGTTTCCTTCTTCTCATCCCTCCGCCCCGCCATCCCAGGAGAGTGCATTCTCAATGATCCAATCCACTGTGTGGCGTAGTGAGTACCACCTGGCAGCGGACCTGAGAGTGCTCGAACAGTTCGGGATGGCAGGACTGGCCGTTCTCAGGATACCAGTCTTCATGCGCAACTTCCGCGGGGCATGAGCAGGCAGGCACTTGGCTAGCAGGTCAATGCCATCTTCTTGTACTGGCGCGAGGAACTGGCCATTTCGAGCTCACCAACACTTCTTTGAGGGCTTTCCTTTTACGGGCCTTTCCATGGAAAAACGAGCAGCCAAGAGCGGTTGCCGTGTGTATCTGATTGTGCATGTCTCTCCCCTTTCTTCTCCCTCAACACTTGCCTTCGCCATCCCCTCTTTTGCTCCCTCACGTGGGTCTTGCCTCAGAAGAGCTGTCTCGAGTAACCACCGTGGCAAGGCGCGTTTAAAGACTGGTCACTCGAGCGCCCACTTGCTAGCGTGGAGAGCTGCATAACCATGGTGGTTGTCACATCAGGGCCATTATGGCGGAGGCAAGGGGCAGCGCATCATTGGCATCGTCAGTGCGTTCGGCAGTTGTATGTATCCCTCCAGGTCTGAGGGATTATGATGATGCTGCTGCTGCTGATGATGATGATGATGATGTTAATGATGATGTTGATGATGTTGATACGGATGGTGATGTTGCTGATGATGATGATGATGATGCTGGTGGTGATGATGATGATGATGGTGTTAATGATGATGATGTTGATGATGATGTTGATACTGATGATGGTGGTCATGGATGAGGTAATGATGATGATGCTGATGCTGATACAGATGATGATGATGATGATGATGACGATGACGACGATGACGATGATGATGATGATGATGATGATGATGATGATGATGATGATGACGATGATGATGCTGATGATGATGATGATGATGATGATGATGATGATGATGATGATGATGATGCTGATGATGATGATGATGATGATGATGATGATGATGATGATGATGATGATGATGATGATGATGCTGATGCTGATGCTGATGCTGATGCTGATGCTGATGCTGATGCTGATGCTGATGCTGATGCTGATGCTGATGCTGATGAGGACGAGGAGGTGGGAGGAGGAGGGAGGAGGGAGGAGGGAGGAGGGAGGCAGGAAGGGAGGAGGGAGGAGGAGGGAGGAGGCTCCCAGGCGCCCTGGGAGGGAAGAGAAGGATGAATTCGCTGGAATTCGCTGGTACCCATGAAGTGGTAGCGAATTAGCCAACGAGGACCCCAGGCGGCGGCCCACGGAAGACGGCCTTCCGCCCGACAATATCCAGCTCTCTGGCCAGAGACGCCTTGGGCGGACCCTGGTGGCTGGGGAAAAGCTCCTTCTGAATTCTCCGGAGGTTCTCAAGACCCTTCTTGGTGCGGAACGTGCACTCCGAAACAAGGTGATGGCGCGGGTCCTCCGTGGCAGTTTTACCACACGCCAAAAAAAAAGGGAAGAGAAGGAGGAGGACGGCGGGGAGGAGGAGGAGGAGGAGGAGGAGGAGGAGGAGAAGAGGAAGAAGGAGCCCTATCGTATCTTCGCCGTGGCTGCCACGATCAGAGGATTGCGACGAGCGTTCGTTGACAGACTGGCCCGCCTCCAGACGGAGAAGGGGGCGTGGAGGAGGAACGCGAAAGCGAGGGCGGGCTCGCTCGATCAACACGCTCGCAGTGTCGAGGCCTCGTGGAGGAGGAGCTTCGAGGAGGAGAAGGAATGAGGAGGATGGCGGAGAGGGAGGGAAGAAGGGAGGGACTGAGGGAGGAGGAGGAAGTGGAAACGGGCAATGATGAGCGCCACACTACGGGAGGATTAGGCTCGTCACTTTTTCCAACGCCTCCTCCCGTCCTTCTCTGTCCCTCCACCCTATCCCTCATTTTCTTGGGCAAGACGTGGTGGCGGTGCGCCCGCGGCGTCAGCGGTCTCCACCGCCCGCAAGATCAGCATCCCCTTCCTCCTCCATCCCGTTTCCCCCTGCGTCCTCTTTGTCGAGCGGGGCTGCCTTGTCGCCAGGCGAACGCGACCGCCAGGTTCACCGTCAACGACAAGGCGGGCACCCACCCGCAGCTCCTTCTGGGTGGGTCGCTGCCTCTCGTCCAGCGGCGCTTGATGTTGTAAGGTTGGAAGGGGATCACCGGGGGGGAGGGGAGGGAGCGAGGGGAGGGGGAGGGGAGCGGAGGGGGGAGGGGATGGGCGAGTGCGGGGGTGGAATATCTGGCGAGAAGGGGGGCGGGGGGGGACGATAGGGAGGGGGGGAAGAGTAAAAGGAGGGGAAGGGGCAAAAGAAAGCGGCAGAAGATGAGGACATGCGGAACACGGAGCAAAAGGACGAGGACATGCAGAAGGATTTGTTGGCGTGAAAGTGCGACAGGAGCATGAGCAGCTGCAGCAGGAGCAGCAGGATAAGGCGTGCGTGTACTGTGGGGAGCAGGATGAGGAGGATACGCGGCATGAGGAATGGGAGACAGGAAAACAGTCGCACGTGCAAGAGCAGCAGCATGAACAGGATTGGAATCGAATGAGCAGCCGCAGGGGGTCAAGGGAAACGAAGCAGAGGAAGGGACGTTCAGTTAGTGGAAGAGGAGGGGAAGGATGAGGATGGCATTGATAATGACGGTGCATACCTATGTATACATATATGTATATATGTATATCTGTATATTTTAGAGTCATGTGACGTATAGAGTTATAATCACATCAATATGAATATATCGCGAGGGCTTCGCCCCCTGCCGCAAGCCCCCTCTCTTGGGCAATGGTGTATGCAAGGGCTTTGTTGTGATCCTAGGCGCCGTCGCGAAGCAGCGTCGGGCCCCGAACGGGGGCCACTTGGTTTCGGGTCCCCCGTCTCGGGTCACTCTTCGGGCCGTCTTGGGGCCCTCTTGGGCCGTCGTGGAGGTCCCTTGAGCTGTCTTGGCGCCCTCTTGAGCCATCTTGGGGCGCTTTTGAGAGCATCTTGGGCCGTCTTCAGGGCCGTCGGAAGCCCGAACAGGCGAGGGCGCCAAGATCCATCAAAACCCTAAATCACATCGCAGGTGTTGGCCTCTTCGGCCCCTCTTGTGGGTGTTCTTTGAGCGCTCTTGGGGGCCTCTTGGGAGCCTCTTGGGCCGTCGTGGGACCATCGTGGAGCACTCTTGGGCCGTCGCGGAGGCCTCTTGTACCGTCTTGGGGGCCTTTAATGCCTCGAAAGCGAGCGTATTGCATATTTTACCCGGGGTTGTGATTCTGGGGACGCGAAGAAACGTCTTTGTTCAGGGATCGTGGCTTCGGGGACGCAGATGTTGTATTTGTTGCTAGCGGTCATTGCCTCGGAGACGCGACCATTGCGTAACCTACCAGGAATTCTGGTCCCGGGGGCGCCAACACAGTGTGATTGCAAGGGTGCATGGCCTCGAGGACGCGAGCATTGCGTACTTGACGAGGGGTTCTGGCTTCGTTGGCGCGAACATGGCGTAACTTACGAGGGATGATCGCTTCGGGGGGCGCGAATCTCTAGTCCTGTTACGTGCCCCAAGGCCCCCTAGACATGTTGATACCCCCTTGGTGACGGTAAACAGGGCCCCATTCGGCTCCACCCCCTTGCGCGGACTTTAACAATTCGCAATAGGAACCAAAACACAGAATTGTAACGTCGAGGACTGGAACCTGGAACTGGAGCAGGGAGAAGCAAGCCTAAGCCGCGCAGCATGATGGCCCCGCAAGGGGGTCAGCGAATATGTGCATATATATATATATATAGATACAGACAGATGGATACACTTCCTGGGGTAGGATGGGGCGTGTGATGAAGAGAGGCATCATGAGCCCCAGGGAAAGCAGTAATGAACACGAATGAGCAAAAGGCAGGCCACGAGGAGGCGGAGGCGAACGAGGATGTTGATGACTAGTCAATTCGAGGTCGAGGACGTATGGCAAGATCATGGGCAGCACCAATAGCATGGAGGCATGACGGCACGAACAACTATGGCGTTCTATTTTGCGTATGAAGATGAAGGTGGCGATAAACAGGCAAGCTCTGAGTGCAACATTCCAGCCGCCACAACTGTGCCTGAGGAAATGCAGAACCACATACAGAGGAGAGGGATGGTGGACGATGGTGAAGAGGACGGCGAGTTGGATGAGGAGGAGGAGGACGTGTTTTATCATCACATTTTGATTGGGTAAGCAGGGTCTGTCTAGCATCTTGTCCACAACGTTGTTTAAGAATTCCAGTGGTGCATGCCAGTCGTTGGCCGCAAGGTTTTGGCTCAAGTGCAACTTGCCCCCTCGTGAAACAACTCCTACCAGATGCTCTTGATAGCGGAGCCCGTCGTTCGCCTCACGGGTCCCAGTGCAGATTTTGGCGGCGGCGGCCACTGCAGCTGCGGTCCGGATTATGATGTATCGTTGTTTGAAGTGTGGGTAGCTTGATACAGCTTGAGCACGAATCGGTCCGCGGAGCCTTGCAACGCAGGTTACGGGAACGGGGGTTTCAGGTACGTTGGTACAGTGCCCAAGGCCAATCACGAGGGAATGCAATCATTCCCTGAGCGCAGCGACACACATGGCACCAGCGCCGCTGGCGATAATGAACCACCCACAGTATGATTTACAAAACGAACTCTGAGTTACCAATCGCACTATGTACTGCGAGGAACTAACCTTTCCACAACCTGACAGAAAGTGCGAGGACATAATACAGAAGCAGGCGAACACCTCGGACTACACACATCTCGATGGCGATCCAAACCGCAGGAGGTGTTCGGGCAGGAGTTGGTGGACAGATGGCCGCGAGTGAGTGCAAAGTCGTCCCAGAGTTCAAAGCGTCTCAGGCGACAGAACGAACTCAGGGCATGGAGTGAGAAGCGGGTGAACGCATTCGCCCTGTTGAGACACGGTTACCAGAAAGCTCCTTGAACATTCCAGCAACAAGCGTGAAAGCGTGATACCATGGATGGGATTCTATTCCCCGGCAAGGAATATGATCCGAACAACACCATGAAGTGAACACCCAAAGAGAGCACACTACAGTGTTACAGGTAAAAAACACGCAGGATGACGCAAAAGGGTTATGAGTTTGATGACGATGAGTACGCCAAGTTGGACGTGGACCTCTGGCATTTGTCAAGTGACACACTAAAGGGGACTGAGCCACGGAGGAAGCTTGAAGGCCTACGTTGGAAACGGTATGATGGGTGATCAGAAGGATGCGACTGGCCCTGTGAGGTGGCCCCCCCCGAGGTTACCAGAGTTACATGTTAGCAGACGGTTGATCGTCTATGACACCCGATAAGCCGAAGCGAATGCATGACGTGGTTGAACAGCTTGAACAGGGGAACGCGTTCGCTGAATCCTTGGACAAACGCAGGGGTCCGCCTGCTCGTCACCACTGCTTATCAGCGCTACTGCCCTGAGGATCACAGTGGCCCATTCAGGCGCTTGGGTCGATGACTGGAACTTGGTATATCTTATGGGGGAAACCTTGGGAAGGCTTTTTCAAGGGAGGTTTTTGGGGGGGGGGTCCGGATCCTTGTGTGGTTGTCCAAGGGTTCGTCCGGGCCGCGTTGTCTTGCCGGCGCGTGCACATATCATTACACCTTAGGCGATGCTCAGGAAAACTTAAGTTTTCGGCCAGAGTCTCGATTATTCTTAATGTTTCAATTGAATTCCTAAGATGTTGATAGAAATTCTGGGTTTTAATTAAATTCTGAGACTATGAATTTCTGAACCCATGATTTCTTAAGCATTTCGCAGGGTGTATCATACATGGCATCGCAAACACATGGCACAACCATGGAAGCCCAGCTACATCCCCTCTGGGATTGTTGCTGTCGCCTTCGCGCTGGCCATCTGTTTCATCAGGCTTGGTGCTCTCACTTCAGCTTTGGCTGGAGGGTTTGTCCGGGTTGCCCAGGGGGTTGTCCAAGGATTTTTTGTTATGATTTTCTCCACTGAACATCGTACTGGTGCAAGCCCCCGGGAGCCTTTGTGCATCGACACCTACCACAAGCCCTCCGTAAAATGCGAGGAGTGGGCAAGGGCGAGAAGACTAGACGCCGACGCAATGGACATTGGACAAGTTAGAGGGGAGACGATGCAGGTTTTTGCGACGAGGTAAGCAACTGATTGTCATGCAGCGTAGAATATAGCTGGGAAGCGGCAGCGCTTTCGAAGTTAGGCAAGGGAAAGGTAATGACAGCAGACACATGTGTTACACGTGTGGAGGCCATGGGCAAATTGGTAAGGACTGCGCTACCAAAGGAGCCACGTATGGAAAGGGAGGCGGACAAGGGAGTCAAGGCTTAACAAAGGGCGCAAGCAGGCGGGTATCAAGTGGGACACCAGAGCACCAAAGGTGACCCATGAGGTAATGGCATGGAAGATCACAAATGGGACCCCCAAGGAAGTTGCCAAGGAGGCCAATGCCAAGGCTGGAAAGGAGGTACGGGAGGAATTGATCAGTAACGTGGAACGTTTCAAATTCGGCGGAAGAAGGATCTCATCGCAGCCCGATGCCCCAAGAACGCCAACGAGGTTACCCCGGGTCGAAGGGGGGGGGGGGGCAAGGGAGCCTGCGCTGCTTTTAGGGCAACCTCTACCAGGGCCCAGATGCCCCAGAGCCGAGATGGGCGAAATTATTGAGAGAAGTGCAGCAGTAGACTGCCCCGAGCCATCGGGGCTGGTGAAAGGGGCGCAGGAGTGAAGGGCGCAGTGCCACGCGACGATGAGGAGGCGCAGGCTGGCAAGGTTAGGGGTCGAGAAGAAACGCGTGCCACATGAGTGCTGCTCTAGCTGCAACCGCGACACTAACTGTTGTAAATTGAATCGCGGGGTGCAGCAAGCAAGAGAAACATCGGATGCTAATTCGCGCCGGACTACAGTAAACAGGGATGGAGGGAGCCAGCCAGAAAGTTTATGAACGCATTCAGAAAGATCCCAGCAAGTCATCATCAACAGCATCAGCATCATCATCAGCATTGTTTTCGGGGGTTGGACACCGGCCAAATCATTGAAAACAGAAGTGTTTACAATATCAATGAGGAAGGAGCGCAGGGGAGAGGTAAAACTAGGAGCTCGCAATATTGCCGCTAGCTGCACCTACCGAGTTGCACAGTACATGCAGCCTGGATGTGTGCAGTATGTTGACACCAGGGATGATGGAGGCATCCAGGGGCGCGCGAAGCATGCGAATCTATTTCAGAATTGCGACCCCGTGACCAGGGAGAATGTGTGTAGTCCATTGTGAGGATAAACGCGGGCGTGGGAGCTTGGAGGGCCTCTTGAGCCACTTGTGGGCCTCGGACATCTTGATGTCTCAAAAGCGCATCGGGAGCGAAAAGGCGAAATCATTGATTGTCTGTGGGTGTTTCAATGATTTGGGTCTGTTTGGGGGTCCCGAGGGGGTTTCGACAGCACTTTGAATTGATCTGTGGCTCTCGTCGGGCTTCTTGGACGTATGTCGAAAACTATGTTGAGCCATCTTCGGCTACATTGGGTCGCGCTGATGGCCCTCTTGGAACATAGGGGGTGCTCTTGGAGCCACTTGGGCGAAAAAGGACGCCCTGACACATAGCGAACCCCCAAAAAGCCTCAGGGAGCGGAGAGGGAGGACACCCCCTCCCCACAGGGAAAAGGGCTGTGAGGAGAGGAAAGACAGATATCGCTGGACCACCTGAGCCCGAAAGGCTGGCGGGGTTCCCCCCCCCCGCTCGCGCAGGTCTACGTCGCCGGCAGCTTGTTCGCCGAGGGCTCCTCCATCACGATCGGCTGCAACGAGCATTCGGGCCGCCGCCTCCGCTCGCCCACGCATGGGCGGGAGATCACAGACACGGTGGCCCACGGAGAGCGGTCGGCCGCGGCCCGGAGGACCGATGGCGGCTTTGCGCGCGAAGCATACCAGTTGCTTCGCGGGTCCATGGGGTCCCAAGTCGGCACCCAGATCGCGAGGGCGCGGAGTCGGACACGTTCGTCTTTCGTGATTGGTGGAGCCTTGCACTCTTGCGCCCCTGCCTGCTGTACGAAGGGGAATGGATGGGCGGCGGGGGGTATGATCGACGGTCAAGGTGCTTGTGGCGTTGTTAGCCGCTGTTTGGAGTCCTCGTGGGCGCCGTCGTCGCTGGTGGACGTCTGGTCAGAACGCGCCTCGATGAGAGGTCTGTGCGTGGATTTCTCACGGTGCAGGGAAGCATAAGGAGAACGCGGATGAGTATGCAAGAAGCATCGGATCCAAGAGTGTGTCATCCAGGTGGTTGCAGCAAATCCGCCACCGTGCCAGCCAAGCATGTTCTGTGGCGACCATTCGAGCAGTGCCCAGAAAGCCGTCACATGGGACGCCTCGCGACTCCAATTCTTGAAGAGTTCTCACGGGGCTCATTTGAGCAGTTTTGGGGTTGGCGTGGGCTCATGTGGGGCAGTCTTGCCTCATTGGTCGTCATGGGGCCGTCTTCGGGCTAACCTTGTTTGGCCAGGGACCTTTCGGCCGAGTCTATTGGTGCCGACGTTGGGCCATCTTGAAGCCTTTCCTTTTCGGCCGCCTTGTGGTCTTCTTCTGTTGTCGTAGGTTCCTCTCGACGCCCCCTTGGGCCAGCTTGAGGCTTTCTGTAGGCCGCATTGGCCCATCGAAGGACATCCAAGAGCCATCTTAGGCTTTTGGGTGGGCCTTTTTTCTGGGCTTCCGAACACCGCAATTCGAGCGATAATCGATCGACGTGCGTCGAACGAGAAAAACAGTGAGAAGGCTACGGGACCTCGACTCGTGGACTCCCTTGGAGAGCAGATTGGGGTATTCATGGGCCTCTTCGAGGCCGCTTGGGACGTCGTGGGTGCCCCTGGAGACAATGTTGCGATACTTGGTGGGCTTCCCTTCCCTGGCCTGTCTTGGAAGCCTTGCAGAGCTTCGGAGAGCTCCAGGGAGGCGCCAGGCGCCCCGGGAGCCTCGGGAGACGGGGGCGATTGACGCGGGAAGGTCTGACAGACGAGGGGGGGGGGGGGGGGCATTCGAAGGTGCACAGAGACCTTACCAGGCCGCGCTTGGAAACCATGGCGGAACGTGCCAGGGGACACGGTGGCAGACGCATCACGCACGAACGAGATCGGGTCTGGGTGGCATCAGAGGGGGGGCATTTCACGAGCTCGCTCGGCAGTTCCTGACTCGTTCCCGCCGGATTTGGTCGTTGCCGCTTCGTCTCTCCTGATAGTTGTGCGCGGCCACGCGAGTCCGCTAGGGGCGCCTTTGGGAAGGGTGGGGGCAGGGTGGGGAGTGTGAGCCGCCCCGCCCGTGACCTGGATTTACCCACCTCAGCATCCATGGAATTCAAACACAGACTCGACTCTCAGATCTCAGTATGGGCATCAGTTTTCGAGCGCAGTTCTTGTTGATAGTTTGCGTGTAAGTTGAGTGTGCGCAAGTCCGTGTACGAGTGGAGAGCTATGGAGAATGAGTGAGCCTGCGTACGAGCGCCAGGATGTGACTTGGCGTCCTGGGTGAGAATGGTCCTGAGCGCGTGCTGGCTGAATCTAAGCGCGTTTTGCGAGTGAGTGGGCTCGAATGCGCGTGGGGCGGTACATGAGCACTTCTGAGCTACTGAGCAATTGTGAGGGGGTCCTAAACCGCCGTGGCCATGGGGCCTTGAGCGGATTTGTTCTGTTTGTGGCAGCGCTTGCGATCGCGCGTCGCATCTGAGTCCTAATACTGGTCGCTGTAATTCGCAACGCCTTGAACGGGCACACGTCTACGTTCCAAGTCGGGTGTGTCGCTTCAGCTATGCCCATAATCTAGGCGCGAACGGGCCCGTGAAATATATTTGGTCACCACCCTTTTGGTATGTCGCGGCGGTGATGGGGCCCTGAAAACACACGTCTCCTTTCCAAGACGAGCGTCTCGGCTGAGACACCCACGATCTGGACGCGAGGCGGGCCCGTGACGCACCCCTGCTTGACACGCGGCTCAGGCGCCATGCCCTCGGGTTCCCCAGGTGTGTGTGTGTGTGTGCAAGAATGAGGAGGGCCAAGACACCCAGCGCTTTGATGGTTTTCTTGCGTGAGCCCACGGGCCTCTCGACTCCTGCCCCAGGGCAGCTGCTTCGCCCCGGGGCCACAGTTGGCCTCCGGGCGACAGGAACCAACACGGACAGGCCGCCTCGAAGTTTCGAGGGGCCGGGTGCCTGGAGGGGAGAGGGCTGCCAGACGGCGCATGGCCTCAGGGCGCCTGCCCCACGGCAGTGGCGGAGGAAGGCACCCCGGAGGAGCGCCCCTGCCGCGGCGCCTTCCCCCCGAGGCACGAGCAAGTTCAAGGTGTGCGGCTGCAACGCCAAGGCATTTTGGGGCCAGCAGCGGGGTGGGGCCATCGTCGTCGTTGGCGGCCACGTCGAAGTATGTTTTCTCTCGCTCTCTGTGTTCACTGCCGCCGTGTCATCGTCTTCGCCGTCCTCCTTCGTCTTCTGCCCATCCCTGCTCGATTATCCCCATCATTCCCCACGGCATCTACGTCCTCGTTCGCGTTCCTCCTTCCTCCTTCCCTCATTGTCCGTACTGCGACCTGCCTCCTCTTCTTCCCCCCTCACTTCCCGTACGATTATTTGCATCCCTCTTCCCTCTCTCTTCATCCCTCCTTCCATTATCTCGGCTCCTTCGCCCAGGTGATCGCCCACGCCCTGTCCGAGTGCCAGAGCTACCAGCAGTACGACACGCAGATCGGGCAGTGCGACTGCAGCACCACCGCGTGCGACGACCAGACTCTCACTTCTGGCTCCTCCTGCTCCTACTCCATCACCCACCGTGCTCTCCTTCCTCATCGCTCCCTCCCTCCTTACTTACCCGACTCGTCCCTCTGATGTTGCACCTACTCATTCTCGTTATCCGCGTTCATCCCTCATAGTGATATAGTTGTATACCCTACTTCATCCTCCTCCGGTCTTCCCCATCCATTCTCCGCTCCTCCACCCTCGACCTTACTCTTCCATCCGTTCCTGTCCCCCATCATACATGCTCCTCCATATATTTATCGTTGTCGTTATTCTTCTCATCGTCACGTCCCCCATACACCCAGTAGAGTATCTCCCCCTTCAAGACCTCATTCGTTCACCCTTCCTGAACCTCTCCCTCAGCATCCCCCTCCTCCTCGTTCTACATTATCCTCATCCTCCGTCATTGTCTTTATCCACCTCAGTTCTTCCCATCCATATCAATGTGTTCTCCTCATGTCCTTCTACCCTCGACTTCCAGCCCACCCACCCGTAGAGCCGAGTAGCACACCTCAGGACCCCAGGCTCCCCACTTCCTCTTTTTCCTCCCCCGGTGCATACGTACTAGCAGCCTCGCGCATCCTGTGGGCTGGTCTCGTCCTTTCTCTGCGTTTCGCTCTGTGGGGGTCTGGGGGGAAGGGGGGGCAGCCTCAAAGCTCCCCTCCTCCCAGCGTCCTCCCGGCGTCCTCGGGCAAGGAAGCAGCAGTGCTGCATCCAGGATGCCCCTTTCTCCTCGCCCCTTCAGCGCATCCGCGGCCAAGCCGATCCTCCCAACGTCCTCCTGGCGTCCTCGGGCAAGGATGCAGCAGTGCTGCATCCAGGATGCCCCTTTCTCCTCGCCCCTTCAGCGCATCCGCGGCCAAGCCGATGGTCCTGGGACTGCTGGCCCGATGCCCCCGCAAAACTCTTCCCACGCGGACGTTCCAGGGCCTTCCGCTGCGTCCCTGCGCTGCGCCCTCGCTATAGGCTCCGACCGAGGATCTCCGACGACCCGGACCTGCGACGACCCGATCTTCTCGGGTCGCTGGCTCCTGGAGCCCTCGACCCCCCGCTTCCCCTGAGCAGGGGAGGAAGCAACCATCAGGAGGACAAGAAACACACGGACACAATTGTTCGTCAACTCCCAGGAAAATATGGGAGGATCTGGGTAGATGTGGGAAGGTGTTGGAAGACGAAAACCAAGAAATTATGGGAACGTATGGGGAATCATGCTATTTGTGTGTATTCATGTGTGTGTGTGTGTGTGTGTGTGTGTGTGTGTGTGTGTGTGTGTCCCAGGGCCCCTTCAAACCACCCCGGCCCCGACAGTTGGCGTTTACTAAACGGCCCTGGGCGTTTGCTGAGCAGCCCTGCCGTGCTCGACTCCTTCCACGGGGTGCATGTGCGTACCGGACGGCTGCGCTTGCCAGGGTGCTTCTTCGGGGGGGGGGCGGAGTTTCTGCCCTCTACCAGGGGCACGCTGTTCCTCCCGGGCTGTTTCCTGCCTGCCCCGGGTGCAGGATGGGGAACTGGAGAGGAGACCGCGGGGGAGGGGGGAGACGGGAGGCGGGGGCCCGAGAACGGCCCCGTCGGAGGCGGACGTCACGCCGCCCCTGAGTTTCCAGATTCCAATCTGTGTTTGGCGCCTCCTGCTGCGATCGAGCAGCGTGTTGCCTCTTTCTCGGCATCGCTCGGATGCGTGCACGTGTTCTCGGCGAGGACCATCGAGGAGCATCCTGGATCACCTGACAAGAAAAATGCACGCGCGAAACCGGCAAATGCATATATGCGGAATGGACGTCCGAGTGATGGCAGGCTTCACTCTTCGGGGGGCGGGCGGAAACCACATCTACCCCCAGCGCCTCCCTACTTAATGTTTCTGCCCACTTCTTCCAAGCGATGGGTCATGGCTGAAGGCCTCTGGCGCGTTTCTCTTGTGCCGGCCTGGCCTTCCAGATTTATGGCCGCCTTCATTCATCGCAGAAGCGCAAGCATGCAGCAAGTCTCGTAAATTTGCGACGGGTCCGTCGCCAAACCAGGCGGCTCCGGCGCCAGGTTTTCAGGGGTACGTTTCCCGATCCATAAATTTGGCGCCCACGCCAGACCCACAGATGTCCAATCCATGTTGGCGTGCGCCTGAGTTCAGACCCTTTGGATGGGGGCCACGACGCCCCAAACAGGTTTACTTTGGGCTCATGAGGGGCTCTGGTCTTCGGGCGGTGCATTCGGGGAGCCTGTTCCTGGCTGGGCCTCACCGTGGCCCTAAAGCCCTATTCGTTCCTGATCTAGCAGTCTTTCTGGTAGCACGATAGCTGTAGCATGGGGGTGCGCGGCACGAGAAATCTTCCTCCGCTCGATCGTCGATGGTTGAGGGCAAACCCCCCCGGTCACAAGTCCGCGACCCCCCCAGGTTCCGCCCTGGCCAGTCTTCCGAGCTCGCGTCCGGCCGTGGCGACGGGAACCTCCGGGAGCGCCCAATCAAATTCCAGAGCGAATACGTTTGGGGGTTGGCTCCTCCGCCTCGCGCGAGGCTATTCGGAGAAGTTCGAGTGGACGGCGTACTCCTTCGAGATCCAGGCGTGCTGAGCTGCGCCCCGACGCCCGCGGCGCGGCCCTCGCCGTCAGATGGGCTCCGAAGGTCAAAAGGCGGCGACGGCGACGACGACCTGTCGTCCGCTGGCAGGAGGAGGAGGAGGAGGAGGAGGAGGAGGAGGGGGAGGAGTGGGAGGAGGAGGAGGAGGGGCAGGACGGGGGGGGAGGAGTGGGAGGGGGGCAGGAGGGGGCGGGGGGGGTGGACAAGGGCCTTGCGGAGGAGGAGGAAGCGTTGGACGAGGGGGGTGAGCAGGCGGGTGTGGTATGAAAAAACATTTCAGCGGCGTGTGAGTTCTATGAGCTGCCCGCGTTGGGAGATTGCATGGCGGAAGTCATGATGAGCAAGTTTGATGGCAGAGGCTGCGATGCACTCGCACGAGTGCGGATGCTCTGAAGCATATGGCGCAAGCGGCGCAAGCGGCGCAAGCGGCGCAAGCGGACGGGAAGACAAGTGCCCTGACGTGCCCAACCCGTCCTCCTCGCAGGGTCTTCGCACTTCCCCGCACGATGGGGGCCGTGGGCGAGCAGGCGGCCGCCCCCCGGCGCTGCAGGAAAGCCAGGTCGGCGGGAACCCGATTGAAATCAAGTGCCGCTGGACGCTCCAACGGAGCGTCCTTACGGGAGCGAAGAATGACATAAGCATACAGATTCGGAGGTCCGCGCGGATTTCTCGGATCCGCCCTGGACCCCCCTCCCTGGCGCACGGAGCGCGCCAGCGCCGCCAGGGGGGTCCAGCGCGGATCCGAGAAATCCGCGCGGACCTCCCAGTTGTTATGTTTGTGTCATTCTTCGTTCCCGTATTCCTGAGTTTGGAGCTGGAGTGTGGGGTTTGGAGCGTGTGTTTGGAGTTGGCTGTGGGGCCACGAAGCGCAGTACGCATTCGCAGCGAGGGACGGGTTCGCCCTTCCCCGATGTTCCTGACAGGCACCGCCGGTCTCTCCAGGATCGCGTCCTGGCAGGTACCCTCGGGCGGCCGCCGGGCGCCCCGGGGAGTCGGCCCGGCAGGAGCACCGAGGCGCTCCGGGGAGGCGATCTGGCAGGTGCCGTCGGGCGGCGCAGGGAGGCGCATCCCCCCGCCTGTGCCAGCAGGCGAGGCCAGCAGAGCAAGCAGATGATGATGATGATGATGATGATGATGATGATGATGATGATGATGATGATGATGATGATGATGATGATGATGATTAGGACTATGATGGTGATGGTGGTGATGAAGATGATTATGTCGATGGGAATGACGATGATGGCGAAACTGATGCTGATTCTGATGATGGTGATGATCATCATGATGGCCAACATGGTGGCGATCGTTTTGATGAGGCTGATGAGGATGTTGATGATGATCTTGAGGGGAAGTCTGCTGATACTGATGATGACGATTGTGTTGATACTGATGATGATGATGATGATGATGATGATGATGATGATGCTGATGATGATGTTGCTGCTGCTCGTGGTGATGATGCTGCTGATCATACTAATGATCATGATCAGGACCATCAGAAGGCTGACGCTGATGTCCATACTGATGAGGAGCTGGAAGAGGATGGGGAGGATGATGAAGATGTGGGTGACGGTGATGGTGATGATTGAATACCGTCGCATGAGACATCGGTTGTCTTCACTGTTTGTGGAGCTATGGAGCTCGCTTAGACCGTATTGGGGGTGTTGTGGCCTCTTGTCAGGCAGTCTTGGGGGTCCCATTGGGACCTCTCGGGCCGTCGAAAGGCCCTCTTACGTCGACTCGAGGCTCCCTTGGGCCGTCTCGGGGCCCTCTTGGCCGTACAGTGAGTGTCTGGGGGGCGTCATGACGCCGTATTGTAACGAGGCCGTTTTGGGTTCTTTTTGGGCAGTATTGGATGTCACCTTTGCCATCATGAGACCTCTTGGGCCATCGTGGGGCCCCCCCGACGGCCTCTTGGCCCGACCTGAGCCATCCTGGAGGCTCTTGGGCCGTCTTGAGCTGACGGAAGCCCGACGAGGCGAGACTTTGAACATCATGCGAATCATCGCAAGAGTCCATTATTCCCAGACAGCCTTTCTGAGCCAAGGTTCCTCCTAAGAGTGCTCCCGCGTCCTGCTTCTGATCCGCCTATGCCTTCGGCGTCGTCGTCGAGTTGTTCGTCATTGTCGCCGTCGTCGTCCTCATCCGCATTCACTTCATTATCCTTCTCGCCATCGGCCCTCCCCTTTTTCACTACACCCCCTCCTCGTCTTCCCCTCCTCCTCCTCCTCATCCCTCTCATCTCTTCCTCCCGTTCCTCCTCGTCATCCTTTTTCTCCTAGTCCTACCCGAGCGGTGTCAATGCACTCTTTGCTTTCTTCCATGCCGACCTTGTTGCCTGGCCACCCTGTTCTTGGTTCCGCTGGCGTTTGGCTTAAACCTGCAGTGCCCCGTGCCAGTTTCAGGCGCGTGTTCACCGTATTCGCTTTCCGTTCACCGAAAAGCATTCGCTTTCCATCCACCTTCACGTTTTTGAGTTGGTAACGGAGCTTCTGTTCCCTTTCCACTGCTCCGCCATGGCCTGCGTGGCGCATTCCTCTCGTCCAATCTCGATGGCCAAGACATCCACCTCTGCATCCAATACGCCAGCGCGCTGGACCGTATTCGTGGCGAGTATCCTAGCGCCCGCGACGGCGGCGCCGCGCCAGTATTTCGGCAACCTTTTACAAGGACAGGAACAACATGTTCGGACATATCGATCACTACAACGGACCGCGGCATCCTGCCGCCCCCGCCTGCTCTTCACCCAGGGCGCGTTCAGACTATGGTCCGGCCGCGCTTGGACCCGTCAGCAGCCAGTAGTGAACAGTAGGTCGATACAGGTTTCACATCAGCGGCTACGGCCATGGGCCTCGAGCTATTCGCAACTACTCTACGAGAGCCTTGGGATGAGCAGCAGGAAGGTGGGACGTCCGCGGTGGATCAAGCGACTACGTTGCCATTTCTCCATGGGACAGCGAAACATACCTGGGATTATATGTCTTCGATATCTTGGAATAGGACTTTTCGCTACACTCGATCGTTCCGTTCAGCCCGGCAGGGCGAGATCCCGATGCGCATTCCTTTTTGCGATCTTGCAGTTGGAGATGTTCCGTATAGCGATGACACGACGAACGTAGGGCATTCCACGATTATGTCGTGGGATGCCCCGAGTTACGAGAACGCCGCAAAGAGGCGACGGATGTTTACGCGCAGTGCGCCAACGAGGAGGGGCGCATCTGGGGATGGTACCCACGTCGGCCTAGAGGTTCATGGTCAGAGCAACGCCGTCGGTGGGCCCCCGGCCTCCAGTACCTCCTAGACACATGGGGGACCTCCACTCCCGATGGAAAGCCATCGGAGTGGGCAGATTTGCTGCGGCCAGCTACGTAATTTGCATGGACGCAAACGGCGGCGGCGGTAACATGACACACCTCCACACATGGGGGCCCGAGCAGCAGTCTCGGGCGCCATTCCAACGATAGGCGCGCGAGGTCATGATCTGTTTAGTGGCGAGCGCACAACGCAATGATATCCGTTGTGCAACCATCGCACCATCACGATTCACCGACATGGTACTGGAGCTCGTAGACGAATGGCTTCCGCACGTTCCGATCCAAGGAGGCGCACCATCAGCAACCCAGTGCCACCGATGACCTCCCCAATGCACAGTTTGGCCGAGCGACGAGGGATAACTGGGCGAGGAGGAGCGCGCCTCGGCAATCCTAGCACATCTGAACTTCAACAGACCGCCGTGGGAGCGCATCGACAACAGCCTCATACGTGTCAACATCCTCCGCAACGGCGCGCAACCTCATGACCGGCTACGAGGGTTTCAGCTACCTCCTTTTGCGCGGGGTCGGATTGTCAACGTTCTATTGGCCATTTTCTTCCAGCACTAACACATGGCCCACCCGACCACCGCAGTTCAGCTCCCGCTCGTGACTGGGCAGCTGAGTCACTTTGGGCACAGGGCCCATGGATCGCTAAACCATCTCGCCTCAGCAGTCCACCCCGCCCAACGGCAGACCTTCCTCGTGGGTGCGCCCTCGCGAGACTGGGCTCATAGTGTCTATGAGACTACGGCCAGATCGAGCTGGGACGGCCTGGGCCCAGCCGCACTTGGGAAATCATCGGGCCCACCTGCGCCAACACCACCCGCGCAAAAGGCAGTCCCAGCAGCAGGCATCGACTCAGGCACCGACGCCGGCGCCATCTGCTCATTCGGCGAAGGGGGCATTGCCGCCAACTTCCCCGAACTACGCGAAGTTATTGGATGCCTTTTGGGCCGTCTTGGGCCATCATGAGTCATCTTGGGTCGTCTTGGAGCCTCCTGGTCCGTCTGACGCCGTTGGAAGCCGCCTTGGAGGCTTCTCTGGGCCGACTTGGGGCCCTCTTGGGGTTCTCCAGGGCCGTCTTGGAGGCCATCTTGGGCGTCTTGGAGGCCTCTTGGGCCGTCTTGGCTCCTTGGGGCCGTCTTGGGGGCCTCTTGGGCCGTTGTGGGGCCATCTTGGCGGCCACTTGGGCGATCTTTGGGGGCTGTGGGCTCTCGGAGGCCTCTTGGGGGCCCCCTGGGGCCCCCATCGGGGCCGAAGGCTCGAAATTTTTGCGTCAGGCGAAACGCACGGAACCACTTCGCGCGGCATCCCGGAGCCTAGAGATGCGAGGGCTGATCAGGCGAAACGCGCCGGACAACCTCTCGCGCGGCATCTCGGAGCCCAGCAAGTCGTGTATATTTGAAGCAAAACGCGCCACACAACGTTTCGCGCGACATGTCAGTGCTCAGAGTTGCGAGGACGTCTCAGGCGAAACGCGCCAGACTACCTCTCGCGCGGCATTTCGGAGCCCAGAGCTACGAAGGTGAATCTGGCGAAACGCCGCATCCTGGCCCAACCCCAGCCAGTTCGTAAACGCGAATTGTGATGATGTTTCAGTCGAGACGGTCCGGCACATCTAATGTGTTCGATGATGTTTCTGTGCGATTCTCTTACGGCCGGAGCTACTTGCTACCAGAACAGCACCTTGTTCAGGTAGTTGTTTGAAGGACCAACAAAACTCAATGATTGT